CATCAAGAGCCAATGTCGATTCTGGCCATCGTCAAAGAATTAATAATCGATTCCTTGGAAGCGTATCTGTATTGGTCCACAGGTCATGCGGTTGAAGTAGCTCGTTTAAATGGACAAGACAGAAGATACTATCATTCGGATGAAATATTTAATGGGAAACAAGTGATGGGATTGACATTAGATACGGAGAACAGATATGTTTATTGGATTGTTCGAAGCTACGAAAGTGGATCTATCGTTTATCGAGCACCTACATCCGAAAGGATTTCGATGAGTCAAAAAATCGTGCCTGAAAAGGTTTCTATCTATCTATCTATTTCTTTTTTTAATAATATTAATATTATTATTAGTGGTAACAACGGAATTCTGTTTTTTGATCATTTTTTTAAGGTCTCAGCTCTGCAACATCCAAACATGCAAGGCCCTTTATGTTATTTCTCAGAGCACCTACTGTGGCTTCAAGACAATCGAAATGCAGTGATAGGCGATTTGTCTGGTCAAAATACGGCCATAATAAATGGTATCACTTTGCTGGGCCTTCACATGGTGGCCGTCATGGATCCGGCGCTTCATCAATATCCAAAGAATCTTACGTCAGAGACTGTAGTTGTACTACCTAATGCTGTCAGCTACAACAGTATTAGAATAGAAGGGACTTGGAGGAATTTCAACATATCTTGGGATCCAGTGAAAAATATCAATTATGGAATTGTCTTTTATGAAGTGAAATTCGCAGATTACATCAATACCAATTCGAATCCGGAGATAACGACGGAAACATCGATGTCATACAACAATTCCGAACAGATCTTGCCTTATTCGGTTTTGGAAGTGACTGTGAAAGCCTTCACGTACTGGGAAACGTCACACCATACGAGGAAGATACTGAGATCGCCACAAAGTGTTCCCACCCAGCCGACGAATACTAGAGCCTTTATAGAATTTCATAAAGAACCTCTGAGCGAAAAAATCGATATATTTGCGATATTTAGGTAGGATATCGTGTATAGGAGTTTGTTGCTTTCTATCTTTAAATCTGTAGATTTAGAACGATTAACGATTTCTTTACAGATGGGACCAACCCGAGTTCGCAAATGGTTTGATCACCGGATACACGGTTCAGTGTTGGTTCAAGGAAAACAACGTCGTGAAACAAATCTGCGATCAGTCGATCATTCCATCTACGTTGTTAGAAAACATTGTTCAAGATCTCTTGCCAAATACGACGTACTATTTTCAAGTTCGAGCTCACACGGAAATTGGCGCTGGACCATACACCGACGTGACCAACGTTTCGACGACGTACGAAAATCCGGTACCACAATTGCTGGTCGCCACAATGGATGCGGTTCGGATATCCGACTTGGATCAGGAAGTGAACTATACCATTACTCGTCATATCGCTGTTGAAGTGACATATCTGGCAGCGGAAAGCAAGATTTATTGGATCAACGAGATGCAGGAGCTGGTAACATCGGATTTGAATGGAGCAAATGCTACTAAAATATTGACATTAAATAACAGTGCATTTAGTATAACTGTCGATTGGGTTGCGAGACATCTTTATTGGTCTGAATCGAACTATCGAGAAAACGGTGGATGTATCATGAAGTTGGACTTGACCATGTGGCAAGCTGGAATTCTCAAATACAAGAACATCGTTATGACGAGCAGGCGTATTGTGAATCTTGATATTTTACCGTCTACAGGGTATCTATCATTTTTACAGAATCGTTTCTCACATATATTTATGTCATATAAATAAAATACATGTGAAAAAGATTTGTATATACGTATATTTTAAATTTATTTTACAATCTGATCTAATCTTTTACAGGTCATTGTATTGGATAGAACAAACTAGAAAAGATGGCGGAGTGATAATGAAATCGAATTTAGACGGGAATGATATTCAACCGTTCTTCAATCATATAGACGACTGTTCCTGTCCTTATAGATCGTCTGTGTTTCCTGTGATGACGATCGACAGCACTAATTATCAAAAACCAGTCATGTATTGGGTTTCTTTGGAAGGTCATTTAAATAGTGCTGATATCGACGGCTGTAGGTGCAATTTGATAGTAAGCGCGGGCTTCAACAAAGGGCTACCGCCAAAATCATTGACCGTTGACAAGATGAACATTTATTGGTCTAACATCCCGGAGGATCAGATTTACTTTGTAAATAAAAAGTATCCCGATGACGAGGAGATCAAGCACTTTTATTTGCCATCTGTACGCAGTATCAAAGCCCTCGGGAAATCTTTACAGACTTATCCGATTACAAACTGTTTGATCCCTCATCAAGTCTCCTACAATGTGGAAGAAATGAGAAAAACAGCAAACACTATTACTGTAAAGCTTCCCGAGCCGGTTGCACAATTCGGTTGCGAAGAATACAGCTTACCAACGACACTTTACACGATATACGTATCTCAGTGTTTAGAAAATGATCCTAACATGTGCGAGAACAGTGATAGAACGAAGTTACAGACTTACGAGAAAAAGTATGAAATAAAGAATTTGAAGCCTTTCACGAAGTACAGATTGAAACTAGCGTTGAGCAACTATTACGCTGATTTAGAGTCGATGAATTTAGAGTTTGGTTCCGATGTCGTGCTGCGGACTGAAGCTGGCACCCCTACAGCTCCAGAGAACGTAACCGTCGAGGCCTTGACACCAACTTTAGCTATTGTCTACTGGATGCCACCGAAAATATTAAACGCTGCTGCTGTACGGTACGAGGTGCACTGGAGATTGTTTAGATTAATAAATGGAGCACGACAGAAGGGAGAACAATTTATAAAGACTACCGAGCGCACAACTGATGGAAGATTCTTCACTATATTGGAGCCATGGTTACCTAATCAGGAGTATCTGGTATTCGTCCGTGCTTATCCCGCCCACGTTAATGATGTTTATAGCGAAAGTCCTGGACAAGTAGTGAAGATGTACCCAGAACCTAATAATTTGACGTTAACTGGATTTAACGTGAATAGTTTAAATGTGTCCTGGGTATCAACAGTCAATTTAATGGTCAAATACACGTTAGAATATACGGACGTTGCTGTAGAAGATTGGCAATCGGCGAACGAATTCAAAGTGGACAAGGACAAAGTGATGTATTTTATTAGGGAACTGCAACCACGAACATTGTACAAATTTCGTCTGCTTTTGAGATACCCAAATTACAAAAAAGACTACGTATGGCCAACAGATGGGAGATTTACGTTTCAAACGTCAGGTAATACGTTCTGAAAATGTTTTCAATTCTGTCCCGATATATTTTTTTAAAGAATTACTTTCTAGAATTATTCATTTTGCATTATTTTTTTTTTTTTAAACAGGTGATATACCAAGCGCTCCAGGTATGCCAACACTAACGAAACTTCGTAATTCCGTGTACCAATTGAACTGGGAACCAGCAGAAGCCCACGGTTCACAAATCACGTTGTACCGTGTCGAAGGAATGAAGATCAATGAAATTAACGAGCAAATAGACACTACTGGTAACACAAGCTGGAAATTATATTACAATGGGACGGACAATTATTGGATAATCACAGGAGATATGAGCGACAAGTATCGATTTCGTGTTCAAGCTGAAAATGCATACGGATTCGGTGGTTGGAGCAGATCCAGCCCAATCATTGATTTAACGGAAGCTAACGGTGGAATATTAGCGGCTCAACAACACCTTGGTTTAGTGTTGGGACTTAGCGTTCCTGTTATCACTATTGTGCTCATTTGCTTCTGTTATTTCCTTTGCCGTAAGTGTATGATGATTATAAATAAAGCGTACGTTTTTAATGATTAAAAAAAAAAAAATAATCCTTGTTCAAATAAGTACACTTCGAGTGGAGTTAACAGAAGTATAAAGGATAAGTTTTGTAATTCAGCAGTGTATCGGCAACGCAAAGAAGATAAAAAGGCGATTTTACCTCCCTTAGTGAGCGACGTTGAGTTAGCGACGCTACGAGAGATACCACGTGGCAATTTCGTCCAATCCAACGCGTTGTACGCATCCACTTTGCAAAACGATCCGGACGATTCTACGCTTCCTAAGATCAGAAGAGAACAGATCACGTTAGCGAAATTTTTAGGTAGCGGGGCTTTTGGAGAAGTAAGCGGCATAAATAACAATAATGTAGTAATTATGGAACTTGTATTACCATTACATGTATCAAAATTTTTTCAGGTATTCCAAGGGAACGCGAAGGATTTGGAGAGACCAGGAATTACGCCAGTTGCAATCAAAACGCTTCGAAAGGGAGCCTCGGCGCAGGAGAAGGCAGAGTTTCTTCAGGAAGCTAGACTTATGAGTCATTTTCGACATAAGCACGTATTAAGACTGTTGGGAGTGTGTTTAGATACGGATCCACCGTTACTGGTGCTGGAACTAATGGAAGCAGATTTACTGAGTTATTTAAGGGCGAGTCGATCTCTGCATCCATCCGATCCACACGCGCTACGTTTGCAGGATTTGCTTGCTATGTGCGAGGATGTGGCAAGGGGATGCCGTTATTTAGAGGAGTTACATTTTGTACATAGAGATCTGGCATGTAGGAACTGTTTGGTATCTGCCAGAGATCGAGAGAACCGTGTTGTCAAGATTGGTGATTTTGGATTGGCAAGAGATATATATAAGAACGATTACTATCGGAAAGTAAGTATTTTTCTAAGTCTGATATAATAACAATTGTCGTGATGTAAAATAAAAGCAAATGTTCAATTGTTGGCCATAGGAGGGAGAGGGATTACTTCCTGTTCGATGGATGGCTCCTGAATCATTAGTGGATGGTGTATTCACTTCACAGAGTGATGTCTGGGCATTTGGAGTGTTAATGTGGGAAATTACATCCTTGGGGCAACAGCCGTATCCTGCTAGAACAAATATCGAAGTATTACATCACGTACGAGCAGGTGGAAGATTGCCAAAACCTTTGAACTGTCCATCTGCTTTACATCAACTTATGTTGCGCTGTTGGAGTGTTGCTGACGCTAGACCGAGCTTTAAACTTTGTCTTGAAAACATAGTTAGTCTTCGAAGTACTATAGAGGATGCACAATTGAACCCGGTTCATGCTGATCATTATTTAGCTAGAAGAGGTAAGGTTTCAATCATATCGAGATTAATATTTGCATTATGTGAATCTTTGGCATGAAACATAAATCTACATTTTCTCAAATGTATTAATTGCCAATTATTAATCGTCAGCAAATACATCTTTTACCTCATTACGATAATTCTTATTGTAGTTTTAGGGATAAGATAAAATCATTTATGACTAAAACTCTCTCTATTGCTTACATATACAGTCATATATTCTTACAACCTATGGTAAAATTCAATTTCTAAACTTATAAGCTAATAGCTGCTTTATTAACTAATAGAATTATTATCAATTTACTGTCATATTCGTATTTGTTTCAAACGTGATCACATTCGATAATTACAATTCAAACCAGCAAGATGCATCGCCATAAATCTGTTCAATATATAAATTTAATAATTTGCTTGGATACATATTTATCATTGCATGGCTCATGCTTGCAGGCGTCTCTAACATGGCTTACTTTGCTGACGAGAACCAAAATCATAATCACTCAGGTAGGTTTTCATTCAGGTAGGTGTGAAGATCATTTATGTACGCTGCTTTCTCGATCAATGTTTCTTTCCTTTCCATTCAAATTCGTGATATAATTATTAAATGATTAATTGTAATTATTAAATAAGATTGTGTAAATGTAACGCAATTGGTTGATTTCTCAGGGAATTCATGGAAATCCAGTAGTTCAGAAGGCAGTCGAGATATGCAACCGTTCCTACAGAATTCCCACAATACGATATCACAGCCGAATGAAGTACCGAAATATTTAGAAATATTAGCGGATAATGAGGATATTGTTCTAAGGCAAAATTCGACAAATGGATACGAAGTGCCTCGGTCGATTCATATCTCTGATCAAAGTTTAACCAATACAAATAAAGCTAGTACAAATGTAGATGTAAAGAGCAATTTGCATTCTGACGAACAGAAAGACGTTTTGGCAGATGCTAAAGAACAGTCGGAAAGAAAATGTGATAAAAGATCGTCGATATCTAGTTTGAATTTACCAAAGCGTAAAAGAGCATCGATCACGAGTATGATTGAAAAATGTAACACTTTAGATAGTTCGAAATTAACGAATCCTACTATTAAAGCGATTTTGAAAACAGACTCGTTTACATCGTTGATCGATCAGAGGAAGAATAAAAGGAACGTGACTGAACGACGAGGATCTGAATTAAGTTTAGAAGGTAGAAGTTCTAGTTCTTTAAGCTCGAATATTAGTTTAGCTCCACCAACTCGACCTAGTTCGTCATTAATTAGTTCACAAAATGTTCTTCCGTTAAAGAACAGCGTTATTGGAGGAACCAGTGAATCAGTCGATAATAACGTTATGAAGAATGCATTACCAAAAATTCAAAGGACTCATTCCAATTTGCAAAATGGTACAGCTAACATACCTTTGGTGATAAACAGTGCATTATTGAACTTATTAAGGCAAACTCCGGTTGTCGAAGATAGTAACAATATAGTCACGTATACGAATATCAATACGGATGCTGTGAGAGTAAATGGATCGTGAAGTTAAAGGTGTGATGAATCACGTTACAATAACAGAATCGTAATTTTAGTAATAACTCGGTATTGAAACTGGGAATGAGTGTAAAGTTCCATAGCTTTGAACTGCCATATTAACATATGTACATATTTAAGTTTTGATATTTGAAATTCTCACATGACCATGGCAGAAAAATTTAGTTGATAATCATACTTGTTGTTTTGCATCTAAGAAAGGAGAATAGCTCTAGAGTATTATGTGGTGATTAATCTGCGATAGTTTTATACTTGTTGTTGCAATTAATGTATTTATTTAATGACACAAAAGTACGAAATTTTCACCGTTCATTGTACAAATTTCATATTTAGCGTTAATATAAAGTACAGTACGGAAATTGATATTCATATTACACGTAAGGATTTGTTAAGTTTTACATATAAATATAGCGATTCTTTTTAAAACAGTAATTAAGAACAAATTTTTGCAAATATTAAACTTCATGTGACTGAACTGAGAATTTTCTAAACGTGTATTTTCAAATTCTATTATTGATATTTTATAAATCAATAAAATTTGAAAAGATTTGTAAATATTTTATTAATATAAATTTTTTATTTTCTTAATCTCAGTCATTCTTTTCATAAAAGTATTAAAACAATATTGTAAATATTCATCCAATAAATTTAGTAAACAAAATATAAAGTCGTAGTAGTAAGTACAAAGACTGGGTGCATATTTTTCAAAAACAATTTTTCATAATTCCATATAATTTTCATATTAAAACAGTTTATAAAAAATAAATTGGTAAAAAATTAATAAATTAAAATAAGTACATTAACAAATAGCATTCAATATTTTATTATTAAATATAAGAAAAAATAGTCCCATAATTTTTTGCAAAATATCATAGTCTACTTTAAAAATATCCTATTCATACAATGTTATTTCCCATCCTTTCCTTCATATTTTTTAAGTAAAAATGAATCAAATTCTGTAAATACTTTCAATTACTATGTTAGAAAATATATTTCTAAGTAATCCTATATACATTGTATGAATTCTGTATATTTTATATATATGTGATTATATTGACATGCAAGTGCTGTAATAAAATTACATAAGAAAATATAAAATTTATTGTCTAATTAATCTGGGTAAATAGAGTTTTAAATGTAAATGAATAAACTGTAATGTGTGTATATTTAAAAAATGATTTATTACAATCAGTTAGATGATATGTATTATAAAGATTACAAATTAGCCTAATATTTTTTCTTGATTCTGCAGAACAGAATGTAGTATCATATATATTTATACAATTTTCTTGAACATATATCTGAAACAGAATATGCAAATAAATAACCTTCTGACAGAAATAAAAGATTTGAAAAATATGATGTATCGTGCAATGCAGTATTACCTGTACAATAAGCAAAAATTACACTTAGCGTACTTAATCATCTAATGAATCATCTTTGCTATGTTCATGTAATAAGACGTATTCTCTAGTACTGTATCCAAACCGTATCACATCTCTTTCTAATAATTCATGATATCTTCTTGGTTCTAATTTCACATTATTTACAAATGTACCATTTGCAGATTCTAAGTCTATGAGATAAGGTCGAATTCTTCTTCCTTCACCACCGCCTTCTTTTTGAAAAGATACCAAACGATACTGTAAAACCGCGTGTTGCTTAGAGCACGAAGGATGGTCTAAGGGAATGTCAACAATCTTGCGATCTCTGCCCATTAAATAAGCCGATTGTCTGTGAACGTACAGAGTAGGCAATGCTTTTTCTTCTTTGAACGGATATAACCTCCATCTACGTTTTGGTTTCCTCGCATCTTCAGGTTCAGTATATTTAATAACCACACCATTCACAGTATTCGTATCTTCTGTTAATTTTCCAGACAACTTGAAATTTGGTTTTTCTTTTTCCTCTAGCCTTGGTTTACGCTCTGCCTTGACAGTAGGTTTACCCCATTCTGGTGAACGTTCCCTCTTTACCCTTACGGTTTTAAAATTATTCTTACTCATAATAATCTTAGCGTTAAACAACGCTAAATATGACACAATTAATTGATTAGTTGATTTCCTCGAAGAATTCTCGGAAATGTAACAGTTCAAAAACAGTCAAAATATCCGACCTCGGTATTCGCAATCGGTGAAATACTAAAATGTTTGGAATCATTAACCAAAAATGAATACATCATTCTCTGCGAAAATTCAACAGGTATACGGTCATTGATTACAGATCATGTAGATGTGGGAGTTTATATGCTTTCCATGCTTATTACAATTTACTATAGCGGACACAATAATTATATTCAAGTTAATTGCCAAAAACGATAAAATTTGTTCTTTCAATTGTTTGATCCAAATTTCGAATCAGATTGCGAGAAATCAAATATTATTTGAATCAATACTTTGATTTATTAAATAGAATTCGCAAATTTTTATTCCCAGGTTTTGTAAACTAATGGAACATAGGACGAAAGGTGAGGATTTAATTTCAGAGACACAATTAGAAAAATTCATAAATTAATCCTCTTTATTGTTTTTTATAAATGAGAATTTAGTCAATTCATGGACATCGAAATGCTAGCGCCGCGTAACGGCGAAATAGTGGAACTAATCACTATCTCTGTTCTTGTTGCACATACGTTCCTTGTCTGCGAATATCATCTACGCACTTCTCAACTCTGGTTGAAACTAAAAAAAATAAAAATAAAAATGAAAATTCCAATAGAAGCACATTGCTCCTTCCACTAAATACTTTTTTAGTCTTCTTCGATAAATGGCAGTATCTGTCTAGTTTATAGAAGAAGGAGCGCAATAATGTATGACAAGTTATGTATATTGAGGCATCAGACAAGGATAGTAATAGATTTTAGTTCTATCATTTCAACGCTATATGACGCTAGCATTCCAGTGTCCATAAATTGATTAAATTTTCATTTGCAAAGAAATCAAATTAAGAAGATTAATGTGTGGAACTTTAGCAATTGTATCTTTCTAACTAGGCTCTCATCTTTCTTACAAATCATTAATCATAGCAATAATTATGTAATTATGAGAAATTTATCATTTGTTGAGCCACTTGAATCGGTAACGTCGCATGTGATACGAAAATGATAAAAGACAAATAACAGTCTGCATTAAATAAGAATAGTTTATAAAGTTCTTATAAAACTTTATACTATATATAAAATTTATTATTTGATATGTCTGGACAAATAAATTTTGACACATGAATGAATAAATTGTAATGCATGTATATTTGAAAAGTGATTTATTACAATCAGTTCATCTTCCTAATTGGATGAAATGTGAAATTTATATATTAATATTTCTTTTATTAATGAATTAAAATTTTTATTAGAATAAATACTAGCGGTGTGAATGTACTATATATAAGAATTAAATAGTTTTCATAATATAACTTAAAGACAATTATAAACTAGCTTTACAACTTGTCCTAATGAGTAATAACATTGTATATTGTTAATGTATATGATTTTTCTTAAATATGATTCTGAAAAAGAATACAAATGTAAATAAACTTTAAAAAATATAAAATATTTGAAAAAAGGTTGTGTTACCTATGCAGTAGTAGCAAGAGTGGTTGTACTTGTAGTACTTGAGGGAACATCATCATCTAACGAATCATCCTTGCTATGTTCATGTAACAAAACATATTCTCTTGAACTAAATCCAAAACGTATCACATCCCTTTTCAATAATTCATGGTATTTCCGTGGTTCTAATTTTATGTTATTTACAAATGTACCATTTGCAGATTCCAAGTCTATGAGATAAGGTCGAATTCTTTTTCCTTCACCTCCGCCTTCTTTTTGAAAAGATACCAAACGATACTGTAAAACTGCGTGCTGCTTAGAGCATGAAGGATGATCCAAGGGAATATCAGCAACTTTGCGATCTCTGCCCATTAAATAGGCTGATTGTCTGTGGATATACAAAGTTGGCAATGCTTTTTCTCCTTTGAAAGGGTATAATCTCCATCGACGTTTAGGTTTTCTTGCATCTGCAGGTTCAGTATATTTAATAACCACACCATTCACAGTGTTTGTGTCCTCCGTTAATTTTCCAGACAATTCAAAATTTGGTTTCTCTTTCTCTTGCGACTTTGGTTTAGGTTCTGTTTTAACAGCTGCTTTGCCCCATTCTGGAGACGGTTCCTTTTTTACTTTTACTTCTTCAAGATTATTCCTTGCTCCTTTGTTGACAGTGTCACTTCTCTTATTATATTCAGCAGGATCTTTGTATTTTCTAGTTTTGTCCTCATGATCTCTGTGCCTTGGACGAGATTCTTCTCTTTTTAAAGGCGATCTCTCATATCTTTTTCTATCATATTGTCTCTCCTCTTCCCTCCTCTCATGTCGATTATCCCTATATAACCTATCCCGTTCGCCTTGCGATCTATCACAATGCACATCATTATTTTCTCTTCTTATGTCTCTGCTAAATTTGTGAACGTCCCTACCTTCTCTCTTGTCTTTGTAACTTTTATTCTTGCTGCTCGATTCCTTTCTGCAGGATCGTCTGTCTTGGCTAGGATGTCTGTGTTTACGTCTTTTCCGTGATTTTTCGTGATAGTTCTCGTCACTACTTTCAGAACTACTGCTAGACATTCTTACGTCTTTATTAATGCAATTTTCTCAATGAAGTGAATCAGTTTTCGAACATCTTGATTTGAAACGATACGACAACGAGATAACCTATACTAGTGATAAGACAATTTGTTATGAACACTGAGTTTTGATGCATTAATATGTTAATGTGCACATATAGGAGTGTATTCGCTTACGTTTTTTAGTTGATATCAAAATGTATTTTAGACTTCACTTTTTTAATAAAAATGTCAGCTATTTCATTTAATCGCACGAAACGTACTGCCATCATGCGTACCAAACTTAAAATAGTACGATATCTACATATATTTGCAATATTTACTTATGTATATAAATACATGTAGATTGTTGACTTCAAATTATTATAACAACGCCAATATATCTTTTTATTCATTCCTAATTCTTGCAACATTATTTCATATCACTTACAAAAGTTCGTACCTCTATCGCTAATTATTTTTATTCAAGCAACTATTGTTGGCGTCACTATATAAAAAAAAAAAAAAAATGTAATTAATTATAACGGCATGTAAATTAGATTTACAAGGATGAATGCCATACAACTTCATTAACAGCGATAAAATTAAATTGTACTCGTGTAATTTCATTAAAGTACTGACTAACATCTATAAATGTACTAATTAATTTGAAGTGAATCGAGTGAAACTACAACTTCGTAATTATCGCTGCAAGTTGAAACGAAATTTAAACTAGCACGGCGTATATTCGAGCTTACGATAAAATTGATTGAAAGGAAGCGGATGTTTTACATGTAAAAAAAAATATAGCGTTTATTTTGTATAAAAAAGTATAAAATCAGTATATACATAATAATACATAATTAAAGTATCTATAAAGATACTTATACTTTTATGTCCTTTACCTTTCTTAAACTTTACACCGGTTCCGTTGTAATCTTAAGATATGTGTGATGACAGAAGATTTTCGCGTGTTACTTCCGGACTTGGCACGCTAAGTCTTGTTTTTTTACGTAAATTTCTATCGTGATATGCCATACTATTCATTCACGTGTAGCATTTAAAAAGTCGATGAAAAAGTCGAATCGGTGAAGGAGTCGGTATTGTCGGAGTTACTTTCAGCAGCGTCTACAAACGCTGTGGATAAATCGCCAGCCAATTTGCTCACAGTTTGCGAGGTCACGTCGTACATGAAGATTTCTTTCTCGCCTTGGTTCGCGTCTTTCGGCCTGTAACAGTATATTGATGAATATTTTTGAAAAGACCGAAGGAAGGAAAGTGAACCGCTCGGCGATTTCGATCATTATTACCGGATGATGTTTCGCGGAAGCGGATCAAAGGAGAACATTCGAAGAAGATTAGACGATAGACGACGGTGAATATCGCTCGTTAAAGAATAATAGCGCGTGTCGTTTAAAACGAGTGAGTGGACGAGTTAACGATGGCAAACTTGTATAAATAAGCGCGATTAGTTACGGCATTGGACTCGCGTTTATTACTTACATGGTTACCAACAGAACCACCGACTGCTTCTGTGGCTCTGTCCGGCTTTCCTGTTCCAACCACTTCTTATAGTTCTCCGCGGTCGGCTTTTTCACCAATTGTTTCAGAGTATCGCCGGCGAGAAACTTGACTGCTTGTACATCGCTGACCCTCCTACCTTGCCTCGACTCAATCTCTTTTTCTTCTTGAAAGTTATAGTCGACGGGCGCCAATACAACCACGCTGGAGATCTTCCGACCATTAAGTTGCGCCACGTCCGGAATAGGGAAGGATGCACCACTCACTTTGAGCGGTAAATAACGATTGTATTGGGACTGGTCTTTCGCTCCGACAGTTACAGGATTCAGCCTGGTAGCATCGTCGCGTATGTGCTGATCCGCTAGCGCCTGGCCTTGCTCCGTATTCGGATCGAAGCGTACTACTTTCATCTCCACGCCACCTGGCCGCAAAGTAGCCTGTTCGAACTTAGTCGTGCTACCAGTAGTCGCCTTCTTCGCCAAAACTGACGACGAAGTGGAAGAGGAGGAGGAGGAGGAGGAGGAGGAGGAGGTCGAGGAAGATGCGCTCCCTGCCGTTTTCGGTTTCTTGACGACCGACGGGACCGGTTCGCTGGCAGCTACCGCGGAACCGCCTCCGGCACCGTAGAAATTCGCCAGGGCCTCCGGCGGTAGTTTCTCTATCGGTATGTCACCGATTTTGTCGTAATCCAGTATCTGTATGTCGGCGTTACCTAAAATACCGGAACTAAGTAGTTGCTCCCTGATATCATCCGGCACCTCGTCCGGAAGATTTGCGATATTTTCTCTAATCTTAGCCTCTTTCTTCGGAGAGAGAGTTGTTATTGGTGCTTCGGTGGTAGTGGTCGTTGTAGTTGTCGTGGTAGTAGTAGTTGTTGTACTTGAAACGAACGGTCTGACGGTTGAGATTGAATTGAAATCTTCGACAGGACTGACCGGAGTCGCGTAAATCTTTAGAGAGGGACTCGCGTTATTTCCGGAGAATGACGGACGTCCCCAGATCGAAGGTCGTTGAGGAGACGCCGGATATCTTTGCTGTTGTTGCGATTGTTGATGATTTTGCGAGAAAAATCCTTCCTGCTGGCTCTGAATTATTTGCTGCTTCGTGTTCACATGTTGTTGCTGATCGTTTATGAATTCACTCGGTGGACTTCTTAGGATATCTGGCGACGAATTCGGCGGTTGAACGGAAACGTATTGACTCTGTGGCGTTTCTGGGAATCCAGTTGGCTGGATCGCTGGGTTAGCCGGGAAAGGGCCAGGGTGAAGCGGATTTTCTCGAATTGCGTAATGCTGCTCGAGCTTCGGTACAGCTTTGAAAATTTCTCCCCCTGGCTTTTGAATCTGAGGCAAAATTGATAGTTGAGGTATATTTTGTACCGCTGGTGCTTGATTGTATTTCAATTGAGAACGATACTGCTGCTCCTGTAACAATTTCTGTTCCTGTTCTTGCTTCCTTCGACGTTGTTCGTGTAATCTCTGCTGCTCTTGTAATCTTTGCTGTTCCTGGAACCTTTGTTGGTCCTGTATCCTCTGGTGTTCTTGTATCCTCTGTTGTTCCTGCAATCTCTGATGATCTTGTTGTCTCTGTTGTTCCTGCTGCCTCTGCTGATCCAATATCCTCTGTTGCTCTAAGAATCGTTGATGTTCCTGAAGCCTTTGCTGCTCGTGCTGTCTTTGATGTTCACGTTGCTTCAATAGTTCCTGTTGACGACGTTGCTCGTGATATCTTTGTTTCTCTAATTCCTGTTGCTTGTACGGAGACAAAGGCGTTTGCTGCGGTTGTTGTTCGACGTTGAAAGGGCTGCCCTGATTCAGTTCTTGTTGACGACGTTGCTCGTGATATCTTTGTTTCTCTAATTCCTGTTGCTTGT